TCAGGCATTTTATCAACACTTTCACTTTGTTTTAATGAAGATGTATATCCCATCAGGGTAACAAAACCAACAATTCACTGAGACAGTGACTATAATTTCCTATATTAACCCTACAGGGAAGAAAGTACTCAGCATCAAACAGCTCTGTCATTTCTTTCTCTAGAGGAGTAACTTTTTGGATGCATTACCAACAGGCAAGGAAAACTCCTTTACAAAAGGAGGTTTATTACACTGTCAAGAAATAAGACAGGAAGTAGCACTGTCTGTTAATAAGAAATGCATTTTTAAAAAAGTGCTAACAAGCTTCAACTCACAGGTTTTCTAAAAGTTTAGGATATTAATGCATTACAGAAGAGATGTCAGTAGTGGTGGCACTCATGAACAAATGTGGGGCTGGTTTTCAAAGCCAAGGTGTATTTTCCCAGCCTTTTAACACTTGTTTTAGAAACTAACTCTGCAAAATAGCCATTGGGCCCGATTATCCTGCAGAGGGAAGTGTGGAGTGCAAATCCAAAACCTCCTGACTCCATCTGAAATGTAATTAATTAGAGGCCTCAAGGTACCACAGACAAAAGCCCATTTATATGGAAATTCCTCCTCTAAAAACAGGCATGTAGAAACTTCCCAATTCAGCAAATAAGTCAATGTGGAAACTCATCCTTGCCTGTCTGACCAGCTACAGACTCATCTCACATCACCCCCAAATGCCTACTGTTGAGCAGAAATGTGTTCAGGCTCCTGAACTTCACTTAGCACTTTAATGAGATAAAAAATATTTGCAACATTTACACAGTGGACAAACATCCCAAAATTACATCTGCTGAATGTGTGTTTGGCTAAAAAAGATAGAAAGAATAAACAGGGTGAGAAACTAAGTGTGCAGCAAAACTGGGCTTTAGAAGTATATTATAGCATTTCAGCCATAATTATTTGGGGAAAAAAAGTTGTCCCTAAAAGAAAAAAAGTGATAAGAATCATTAGAAAGTCATAAGCTAACTTTTCAGAAAAAGTAACCAGAAGTTTGTATTTTGAAAACAGATCTTGTTCAGTAACAGGATGCATACATGGGGTAGGCAAGTGTGGGGAGTCTCCTGCCTTTCTCCCAAAGAAAAGAGAAAACCTCTGGATCACAGGAAATAACACAAATTTTAGAAAATCCCAGTGGTATGAGGGAAAAGACTTCAAATAAATCTGTAAGTCCTGAAAACAATGTTAAAGGACAGCAGATGTTCTTCCCTCCCGCCAGCTTGTTCAGAGACTCACACACTCCCTAGGAGAAGTCCTTTATTTGCATTGATTAAAGTGGGTATTCAGATCCAGACTCACACAAATGGAGAAACTGAGACAAATAGGTGCATAAGGAAGGACAGGCTGTGCCCATCCTCTCTGAATACACAAAGATAATGGAAAAATACAGACCTTTGAATATATTTTTTCTTCAGATTTCAATATCTTTATAATGTAAAACAGAGCCAAAAAAAAAAAAGGCACGCCTTAAATTTAGGCTGAAATCTACTTTGGGAATTCATTTTTTCTTTTGCTGCTTTGTGATATGTGGCTGACAAACCAATGCCTTGGCTGAAATGCTGCCAAAATAAAATGTAATCATCACTGTAACTCCTGCCATTATAAGTCAATTCTGAAATTAAATCAGCAATTCAGATTCATCTTATGGTAAACTGTTCTTAAGTAGGAGGCTTTTCCCCAGCCATCTCCACCAGGAAGCATTTCTGTTAAATAAAAATGACAACAACAATAGAGGCCCAGATGTGGCCATGAGAAAAAAACCTGATATGTGGGTATCAAAATCCAAATAAAAACACCAGAGTTTTATCTCAAATTTGTAAGCATCTAAAATGCCAGGCACTAAATTAAGAATTGGTAATTATATTCATAGCCTCATTAGGTAAAAGCAATCAATAAGGCTGGGAACAAGGACCAAAGAAAGCTCAGCCCAAGCCATTAAGCAAAAAAAAAAAAAAAAAAAAAAAAAAAAAAAAAAAAAAAAAAAATCAGTTGTGATTAGCACATTAGCACTTCTTTACTTCCTCCACAAGCAGTACAGCTTCATCAGGAGTGATGAACATTCCATGATGATCCTGAGCAAAGACTAAGCCAGGTGACTGAAGACCCCTCCTAAATTTAGGAGCTATGGATTTGAATCTTCTTGACCAAAGCTGGGTGAACAAGTTTCTTGTGTCTTGGACAAGTACTGCAAATCATGTAGGAAAAAAAGCATGGAGATCCTCTCCCCACCAGTACCTGGAAGGACAAAAGCAGCTCCTTGGGCAGTGGGGTACTGAGCTCATGTGCCAGTGTCAGGACTGGGGACACTCTGAAAGAAGCTTTGCACATAAGTACCAAAATCCCAAAATGTAAATTGTCCCACAGCAAAGGGAAACCCACACTTCTTATGGGAAAGATGTTAAAGCGGGTTTCACTTGCTAAACTGGATCTGAGTCTAACTGTATGAAATCAATTCAGAATTACATGAGGTGTTTTGTTAATACACTGAAATGACCTGCTTCTGCCACTGCTCCTCTGCATTAATATCAGTTCATAACTAATCAGAGCAACTAAACAGGTGGCAGTTTGAACTCTAATTGAATTAGTAGACAAAAAGTAACCTGCAAACTACTTTTTTTCTCATAACTTCATATAACAGGGTTTTTTTGTTGTGAGGATCTAGCACCTATGTATTGCACAAACCATAGTCTCAAAGGCTAAACAATTCATTAGCTGAACAAAGCAGTAAAAAATTTATACCAAAATACTTCACTAGCACAAACAATTCTATGCCTTCTTTTGTTTCCATTAAAACCAAAAACCTCTGAAAGCCAAGAAATGCACTGTACTAAGACACAGCCTGTAGGCTCCTCACCCAAGAAACTGCAGGGATTATCTGCAAACACAAGAACTGTGGTCACTATACACAGGGTCATGTTGTGAACACAAAATTACATCTGACAGCAACGCAGAAGGATCTTGGGAGTCTTGGGAATCTTGCTGCTAACCTACACAGGAGATAAACTGGGACTGACAGTTGCCCCTGTCCCCATTCCTGCCTGTTTGGTCCCATGCCTCCCTAGCCTTCCTTTTCTTTCTCTTTCCTCCTCTGTGGGATTTTCCAGTGTGCAACTGAACTCACAGTGCTACAGACTTCAGTAATTCTGTGCTGGTAAGCCAGGAGCACAGTAACTCTGCCTTGCTGGTGAGCAAAGAGCATCTACCCATACAGCTTGGAAAAGCCAAGGCCTCCTGCTAGGATTAGCATTTTTAGAACAAAAACATATTAGCATGCTAGGGAATATCAATTAGAATGAAGTGAAATACTGGAACTGAAAAGAGCAAACAGCACTGTGTGTCAAGCCTATAATTTATATTTATAAACTACAGTTAAATACCACCTTATCCTGCTAAATCTCCAACTGATCCAACCGACTCTCCCATTCACAACCTCCATCAATGATTTTATTAATATAACTTCAAATGTAGTATGTTGACTGGAATTCATTACTATGTATTCTATAGTGTACAACATAATAAAAAAATACAAATATGTATTTCCATAACATTAGGAAGCAATAACACTTTGCCAGTGCCCTTCATTTACTTTGCAGGAGAAGGTCTAGGAAACACTTTTTCACTCATGAGAATGAGGAAAATCAAGCAAATATGATCTCAATTTAAATTTAGGTTGACTGTTGGAATCCTTAAACACAGAAATGCCCTACCAATTCTGTACAATTACATATATATATATATATATATATAAATAAATCAACTACATTGTGTAATCCTTCCACAAAACTGTTAACTAAAATGAATTTTCAGCCTGGCATAGAAACTACGCTTAATCATTGTAACATAGTTTCTTGACAAAGGCATTCAAAATAATTCTGCAACTGAAAGATTCAACAGAGCAAAACAACAGTACTTAATTAAAAGGGGAAAAAATGTAAAAAGAAGTAAAATAAAAGAAAACTTGAAAGCAAAATTCATCCTTCAACTAACCCAAGAAATAATAAGAAACAAAAGGGGAGCTGAACAACCACCTATCTGTATACTGCTTGTTCATCCAGGCTCAACATGAACTGGGTGTCAGACATTCAAAAACTTTTTAACAGAATGAGAATTACAAATATTAGCATTCAGATTATATCATTGTCTTTTGCTAAAAAACAGTCAGAAGTCCCAGTTGTTCCACTGAAATATAAGATTATACTAGCCAGAACCACCACAGGATTATTTACAGACATGTATATCAACAATTATGCTATGTAAAGCAAAGCTAAAAAAGATGCAGAAACAAAACTTAATTTTAAAAAAATGTTATCAATAAAGTATGAACACTAAGCAGTGTTCATAGGCAGAACACTAAGCCAGCTTTGAATTTTGTAAAATATATCAGACAACTGAAAGGAATGGAGTATTCAATTCTACAGACCACAATAATATGCTACTGAAAAAGTTGACCACTGATATGAGATTTCATGGGGGAAGGTGCAGGGAAGGAGGTTCAGAGATTGACTTGATGCAAAAAATCAACGGTTTTGGACTATGCAATTTACATATTTAGAAAATCACCTAAGTTTGAAATTCAACTCATTACTTGTGTCTAGATTTTTCATCTAAACTCTGGGTAAGAATATTACTTAAATATTCTTAATGTAAATGTACACCATTTTTTTATGTTGTATCACTTCAATAAGAAAAAACTACATCCAAAATCCTGACCAAGTACTTGGAATACAGGGAAAAAGCTGATCCCTCAGAGGTCAATAGCAGAACTCCCTAGTGTGGTTAACTTCACTCTCTGGTGAAGTTACAGATGTACGTTTAAGATACTGATACTTGACTGTGTAGATGGAAAAGCCTAAATGTCAGCTCCAAGATCTAATTGTAAATGAAAACTCATTCCCTGAAGGCATAATCTTTCACTTCCACACACCAACACAAAGATCACAGGCAATGAAAAAATAAACCAGAAGGCCACGCAGTTTGAAGACCAAATATTTCTTTACTTCAAAAATACATCTTTATATTCAAATTCCAAGTTGCTGCACTGTAGTAGGAATAGGCAATCATAAATTTAATTTATCTTGATCATTTGCATTCTGTGGCAAACTGAGCTCAGGAAAAACATCTGGTTTTCAGTGAAGACCTCTGTTACCTTGTCTTCTGTCTGGGTTCATTATAATGTAAAACAGTAGAGAAATAAGCCTCAGGGTCACGTAATCCATTCTCCACTGAATTTGAATTGCCTCACAATCGAACTTTATCCAATAATGAATGAATTTGTTCATCATCCATCACAAGAACTCTTCAGAGTATACGTGGATTTTTTTAATCTTCCTTTAAGATGAACACAGAAAAGTACCGCAGTTACAGAACTGATTTTGCTTCTTAAAATCTTGCAGAACTTAAGGTCAGTTTGACAGCCAGCCATGTAAAAATCTGAACAAAAACTGAAGGAAATTAGAGTATTGAAAATCCTGCTTAAAAAATTAAATTTATGTCTTGGCATACCATCGTTCTCCTTGCACGGAGAGGCTGTTTTTCATTCTTGACTTTAAAATAGGGCACATGGAAAAAATGTACTTCTTCCCTTCTTGCTTGATGATGTTACAATTCAGCAGTTAGGTACTGTCTATCATCATTTGCATACTTGAATCCTTTTGGACATGGCCAAACAACGATGTGAAAAACAGTAATTATCACAATCATAACTTAACCTCTGGTAAATTAATTCCTAAAGAAGTTCTTAGAATTAAGTTATAGCCTCCATGTATTTAGGTAACAGGACTCTTCTGCACTGCAGCATCAAAGATCACTTTCTTGCTAAATTTCAGTGGCAAATGCTTCAAGCAGGAGGTACTGGTAGTCTTCTTAATATTTCCATAGCTATCTTATGATAGGCTTTAGCCTGCAAAAACAGAAACATACATTGAGCACTAGATTTTCTAGAGAAGGGAATATTTCACAACTAATTAGGTATTTGTTCTTTTACACACAAAGAAAATCAAACATGTTTAAATAAATGGGTTAAATTTAGCCTGTGTTCAGGAAAAACAATGCATTAAGAGACAGATTAAGCACAAGCATTATAGAAAAATATTGGTGGGGGAATTTAAATTTAACTAAACAATTTGTCTTTAACAACAAGCAAAGTCTTCTGAAAGAGAAGCGATGAGGAAGATACAGATTCTTTACTCCCACAGGTACTATTAATTATAAACTTCCCTCATCCTGACAACCAGGATGCACAGGATAGAGAATCAGAGAAAACAACAGCATTCAAAAAAAAATTTTTGAAACTATTCATTACAAACCTGACTATCACTATGGAATTTCCTATTCAGACATTTAAAGTATTTTTAAAAAAAGACACCTCTCCAAAAGACTGAAGTAGGTATTGGAAAGAACTAATTCTGCAACACTGAAATCCACACAGTTAAAGCTCTTTCACACCAGCCTGTGGCATCTGGTCTGACACTTTGACTATGGAGAGCAACCCAAGTAAGCATACTTATGTTAACATCTCCAAAAACCATGACACAGCTAGGACCATGATCAGTCCACCATCAATTAACAAATCTTATGCCAAGGGACTTATATAAAAACACTGTATGAAGTCCAACACAGAACAAACCCCAGAATTAAATCAAATTATTCCCGTACCAAGCTCAACAACTTGTAGTCAAAAGGGAACATCTTAAAATCTCAACCATTTATATAAGAATACTTAATTAAAATAGTATTTTTGTGTGTATGTATATACACACTGCACATTGTTCCAGAAGTTGATTACTTCCATCATTAAAATGTACACCTTTTCTATAATTTGAATTTGTCGTACTTCAGATTCCAGCTGGTGCATCACATTCTCTGTCAAGTACACAGCAAAGTCCCCTAACTGAGCTTGCTCTTCTGCACGACAGTGGCCAACCTACTCCATCTTCTCCACTAAGTCTGCATACACAGACCACATTGACAACCTTTCCTGCTTTCCTTGGACAAATCTGCACACTGATTTCTCCTGTCTCCTGTCGGATGGCTCTAACTATGAATTAGTCCTTGTACCCCTGATGAGCCTTTAAAGCAGCAAACAAACTGACACATGCCAGAGCCCAGAGCTTGGGGGGCAGGAAGAGACGGTCTGTCTGTCACACCAGGCCCACCAGCACTCACTGTCACTGCTCTGAACAAGGTGTCAGCCTTTTGCAGAGCTATGCACTGCTCATGTCTGTCTCCTCTTTTTTAGGGATTGCTCCTGGCTTGTAGGATTTTCTTCTCTGGCACTCACCCTCTACACCTCACAGTCTCAATGCTCACATCTCCTTAAAACTAAAGCCAAATTTTCTGAGTTTGTAAGGAATGCAGACAGCAAGACAGAATTGTTTTCTCTCACGTTCATGACTTTGTGGCAAGAACAACAGAATTATTTAGAACTTAATTCACAATCAGGAATTTCAAACTTCTGTGGCTACAGTCGCAGTGCAGTTGGGTAACAGCCTGTGTGCAACACCCACCTCACTCGGCTATTAATGCCCTGGGTGCTCCAGCTGCCCCCAACTAACTACTCACCTAGACAAGGTAATGGACCCACCTGAAGTGAGGTGACTGACTGAAGTCAAGCTGCCTTTGCAGTTCAGTATTTAACTAATTGGTGCAGGAGCACTCCAGGTGGGAATTTCAAACTACCTGGAACAGTCCCGCAGGCAGCTCCCATTTTGCACAGATCAATTCATGCATTTTAATGAGCCAATTAATAACCTGCATACAGTACCTGGCCCCTTCTAAAGACTGCCCAGCCTGTTTGCCTGCTCGAGAGTTGACCAAATTGTACACAGAACTACAAATTCATGATAAGCAGACTCAACTGCTTGTATAAATGTTACCTTATGTCAACATCCCAACAGATTTTAGATACTTTTCTCACAAAATGCTGTTAATGAGTGTCTGAGCAACACTTCCCCAGTGTACACTGACCCTCATTTGCCAAGCAGCTGATCACCACTTTGCAACAGGAGGGTCCCAATGCAGCTCTTTGTAGCAAGCATTCCAGCACTACTAAACACTGTCTCGTGTCTAGCCTGCTCACCTTTGGGTTTTTTGTTTTCCTGGATCACTACTTTGTCTGTTGAATGGACCAGTATCTCATGTGTGCCCTTACAGAACTCTACTAGTCACCTGGCTTTGGCAAAAATCAACTGTTTTGAGCCTTGGTTTCCTGTCTTTGAACAAATGATTTAGCCATGAGTGAGGACCTGACTATCAATCAACATACCTGAAAGGTCTAAATGGAATCTTGGTGACTGTGAATATGCACTACATAAAAACAACCCTATGTATATTGAATGGTTTTTCCTACTCGTGATCTTTTCATTGTGCCATCCATAGACAGAGAGCACAGCTCAGTTCACCTGTTTAATCCATCATTACTAAGCAAAAGAAGTTGGGCTGCAAATGAAACCAGAAAGGGTTTACTATTTCCTTTCCAGGTGGAAAAACAGCAGAGAAAGAGTAAAGGATTAGTTCCTATTCATCACCTATAACCTTTCTCATTTTAACAGGATAAAAGCAAACTTCTCAGGTCAGTTACTCCTTTCATATCTGAAAGCTCTAAATGAATGGTTTATAGATTTTCTGAAAACCAATTTTTTGCTGGCAGACAACTTTATATTTAAAAACAACATACCAGTTATCATTCCTCCCACTTCATGAGGACGAAGAAGCACACAGGAAGACAGAATGTCCTAAGCCCAGACCAGACTTGTTTATTATGAACACTGCCTCAATGGGATCTGAGAGCAGCACTAGGGCAGGCAGAGGTAGAGGTGGAAGGTGATGCTCACAGAGTCAAAAAAAAAGCTAGGAAATAGCCACGTGAGAGACTGCTCACCTCTCAAACAGTGGCACAGTGCCAGAAGGGCACAGTTCTTAAGACCTCAAGGGCACAGCTGATAATGAAGTGACTGATGATAGCATTGATGGTGGAGCAGGAAACAGAGAACATGTGAAGAAGTTCACCAGGAAATGGAGTGAGAAGTCCTACTAAGCATAAATAATCAGACCATCCTGATTCATCACTCTGTAGCAGATCTGTATTATCATGGCCTAATACATGATGGGTAGATTTAAACTGGAAGACTTTTTACTAGCTCATCTAATTAAGCCCTGCAGGAAATATTAGCCTTTCCAGTTATGGCCTTTCATTCTCCCTAAAAATCTTACCCATGAGGGAAGTATGCATTGTTGCTAAGATTACTGCAGACTGTACAGGTCATGGCTGACTCTGCCCTGTTGTCATGGACTGGAGTGGTGTGGCCTGACCTGCTGGCTTGCTTTCACTGGAGTGCAGATCTCAGCCTGCCAACAGCTCACTACAGTGCCTGCCAGTACCTGGTGCAACTGTCACACAAACACAGAACTCAACTTATAATCAACAAAGTAAAAGCAGGTGGGAGCTGATATCACATTTTCCTTCACCCAAACCACTGCATACAAACAACTTCAGACCAGCAACTCAGAAACACACACTGATTCCATCACTCAGTGACAGGCCTCATACACAAAAGGATATAAATCCCAGTACTGACATGGTTTCTAATGTCTATTTCTGACTCCAAGACTCCAAGACTATTAAGGCTGCTTTATCCAGCCCAGCAATCCAAAAGAGAATCTGTGCAAGTCTGACTGTCTGGAACATCAAGTGCTGTGGATCCTAATATACCTGTAAAGAAGGAAAAGGAATTTAAATCTGCTCAACTGACCTGTTAGGGCTTACATTTTATTAATTTTATTAATTGCTGAAGGAAACTAGCCACCATGAGCAACTAATCCAATAGTGACTTATCACAAGGACAAATACCAGTCTTAGCTACCATCCACATGAAAATAAGCACAGCCAGCCTGTCATTGATAACTTTGGTTCTTAGCACTCTCTGCACAATCATGTTCCATTTGTCAGTTCAATCAGATTTTTAAATACATTTAATTTGGAAACATGGAAATTGCTTTGTTACTTTGACACAACTCCAGCCTTCAGTGCATGACTGGAGATACCTTCCATGTCTGTATTTTACTGTGGTCAGCTCAGTTGGCACTAAAAACATGATGACAAATGCAGCTTTAAATGAGTCTACTTCAGGTACAAGCTTCATGTCACCCAGAGAAATTCTTGGTTGCTACAAGAGGTCCAGAGACTATCCCACTCCCTACCAGTCCTTCCTCTGGGCAGCCCCACCATAAGATTCTTCTTTGCATGTACTGGCAACTCTTGCCAAATTTACAATGAAGTCTCAAGTCAGAAAGGCACACTTACTGAGACAGTAAAAGTCAATCCATACATTGTAACATGAAATGGAGGAGACTAGTAAGTAAGCTGGATTTATGAAACTAAAATCTCAAAGAAAAATCCTCAGTGCTCATGGGAAACTTCCTATTAATCCTATATACCAGCAGTAGTAACAGCCAAACCATTCTTAGGGACAGCCCCAGCTGGGTAATACTGCTAAGCCAACGTGCCTTTACGGACATCTAAATACACATCCTGCCCAAAAAACATGGCCAAAGAGAACCCTGCAAATCAAATGCAGTATAGTAACATCCTTCAAACAGACTATCCTACACTCAGCCTTTTCTTCAGCAGACAGAACCATAAATGAGGGTCTGATGATGCATTGTACTGTCTACACCCTGAATGAAGGATTTGAACCTACATGTATCAAATACTACTGTGATGATTCAAAGGAAGCCTTGATGATAAAGGCATATTATAAATCATACCATGCAGCCTTCTTTAGGATTTGCTTTAATTTTAAAATATCACACCCCGCATTGACTACTCATTAAATGGAATTATTTATGACAACTAAACCACAAAACAGCATTCTATGACTTTTTGCTACCAGTACTTAAATTTTTCTCCAACTACTTATTGCAATCTTTAAAAGGCTGTATGTTTTTACCCTACTTATATATCACCCTTTCATAAGCATGCTAGAGACAAAGTGTTTCTGAATACAAATTTGAGTTGTCTGTTTGGATGACACCACAGCAAGGTTTGTAACATTCTGATTTAATTGAAAAAGGATGATTAACCAGACTTATTTTGCTCTGTTCCATTAGACTGCTGATACCTTGTGCCCCTGCTTTCCACCTGACTGGGCTTTTTGTCTTCCCTTATAAATCAGTGTGCAATTTATTTGACTCAAAATCCTTCACATGTAGGATGTGAACGGACATACTGGTTCACCAAATGTATTTTGTACTTGTTTGAGGTGGGAGGCGACAGGTGGGAGTTTGGTGGTCAACAATCACAGACAGCCTGTCTGTTCTGCCAAGGTATTGATAAATCCACTGTGCCATGCAAGCTGTGATACACCCAAAGTTTCTAGCAGGAATTCCTCACAAGGTAAGTCTCTGGGCTCTATGCTCACAGAAGGAAGAACTCTCAGGAACCTCTATTTATCGTTCTCCCAGTGTGATGGAGAGTTCACTGGGCACTTAGGCAGCTCCTTTGATGGAAGAATAACTCCACTGCAATTAATCATGTTCTATATCTCTTGCTGTGCCTCTAATCTGCTTACCTGCAAGCTTCAGGATGCCTTTCTAAACACCTGTTTTGCTGCTGGCTCCTTTCCCATGGTCCATAGGAAGATCCAGTACATCTGAGCATGATCAATTTCACCTGGTTTCAGTGATTCCTCATTAGTTGTCCCTATTCTACCTTTTCCCCTGCCTTTTTTCCCCCAATTCTACCATTTTAGCAGCATTCCTGATTTTTGTTTACCAGTTTTTGCTGTCCAGTGACTCCTGCATTTGTTTGAGTGAGCAACAAAATGGAGCCTGGGCCAGCTAATCCACCTCCACAGCGTGATGGAGGAGAAAAATGCTCAATTAATCTTTAGAAGTGTCTCACTCCAGAAGGTAAGCCTTTACTGTTGATTAAAGAAATTATAAGCTTCTTGTAGAGGATCTTGGGTCACTCGCAGCTGCTGTGTTAGGCTGACCATGCAAGTACAACAATACTCCATTTCTACATCACAAAGTTTTATCAATGAAGAGTATTAAGAAAAAGCCACCAAAAAAGCCACAATTTAAACAACTAAGCTGACAGCAACTCTAACACAGACAATGTTATACCAAGAGCAAATCATTTTAGCAGCACTGTTATTTCTCTCAGGGGACTGCCTCAAGCTTCACCAAAAGAGAACTCCAGTCATCAAACCCTCCTATCCTTTAGCTATAATGTCAATACTTTCCATAAGCAGATTAGTCTTGTGTATTCTGTGCCTTCCCTGAGGAAGAACTTTCTAAGTTCACACATGTTCCATTCTACAATTAATTTCCTTTTTTAGTTCTTAGTAATTTCCTTGTCATTTGTGAAAAGGAAACCCCTTTTCCACCAACTACATCTAAGCTTTAAAATAATAAATTTAGACAAGTTTGCTTAGACATTTTGAAATTCTAGTGTAAAGTCAGAGGTATACTTTTACATATCTGCAAGGCAAGATGAACCCCATGGCAGATGTGTAAGCAAAAATGTATTAACTGACATATTTTAGAAACCATTTTATTCTAGGCTTGAAAGAGCTCAAAAGGTGTGACAACATGCTGGGTTTCTAAGAAGTCAATCACCATCCCTATTCCCTACTGTTTGAATCTGCAAGGTATTATTTCAGGTCTATGATTCTGTATTTGATTTGTAAGTGTGTTCTAACAAAATCAGCATAGAATTTTGTATGAAAATCCCCTGCACATTTAAGCGACAGGAGCAGAGAAATTCAGCAGACATTGTTCTCTATCCGAAAAGTTGTTAATGCATGAATAGCCACAATTTCAGTTTATTTGAGAAACATGGTGATGACTGTCATGTATTAAAGATTAGAATCTGACCTTATATGCCTTCTCCCACCATCAGTTATGTGCTAAGAATTTAATATTTCTTTGAAAATATAAGAGAATGATATTTTTTCTATCTTTAAAATGAGAAGAAAAGCAGGGATGAAGGAAAGTTCTTTTTCATTCTACAGAGATTTGTGACATTTTTAAAACACATTCTCTGAGGAGAACTATTATCTCACAGACACAAAGGCAGAGAAGGATATTAAGAGTTTTCCCCAGAGTCACACATATTTGTCAATCTTTATTCCTCTGCATATTTAACTTAATTGCCACAAATGGTGATTATAACCCATCCTTTTGTTATCAAGAACATAGTTAAAGGAGGAACAGATGGCAACACAACAGACTTTCTTGCCTTTTTATTTTCAGAATGCTATCCCCATACATGTCTGAATTCTTGGCTCAATAGTCCAGCAGGCTACAGACTCTTGGTTATTACAGATTTCAGATACTGTGAGCCCTCCACCTTAGCTTCCCAGCTGTTTTACTTCAGCTTTGACCAAAGCCATACATCCATTCAAAACTTCACATTGCTGATCAAACTTCCCAGAAAGAAGCTACCATATGGATTATAGGGATTCCTTTTCAGATAGACCTAGACTCAAGATCACTACATTATTCCACAGCATGGGCCTTGCCCAAACCTAGCAAAAACATGGCATTTAACTAGAAGTCAACATGCCACTTCTCTTTCAGAACAAAACTACAATTTTAAGACTATCACTGGTCTTCCACAATCCTGTTCAGTATGTTAATAACATTGGATTAAGAATGTTAATGTTCTCCTCTTTTTTTTTTTTCTTCTAAAATACTGTGAAGGAAAAAACACATTTCAATCATGATATTGAAAAAGCTACTAATATTCAAATGCTCCATAGGTACAGTCTACCTTATTGTGAATTGATTCTACTATCTGTTATCAGTATTAATAATTTTTTTCACTATATATCTTTACCTCTAAGCAGCAGAGGAGAGTGGGGCTGCATTATGCCATATACTGTGTACAGCACCCTGCCCTACAGAGCCTGGCAGACAAACTCTAGCAGAGAAAGAAAATAGCAGACAGGGAAATCTTATTCCATCAGCAATAATGAAATTCTATATGTGCAACTACTTTTCTTTACAGATTTGCATATTTGACTCCCACCACCTCACCAACTTGCATTTTCCAGTGACAACAGAATGTTATGGTAAATAAACTGAAAAAATCCATTTCCTCTTGTGTGCAAATTGCTCCACTTCCTGATGAAAACAACCCAGGTACTGACAATATGAAGTTTTGTTCCAAACATCTTTGGGTAAGACCCTTTGACAGTTTCCAGGCTCAGCTACCAAAGGCTTAACTGACAGTTTTAGAGGAGCTACATTAGCTGCAAGGTCTCATGAGGCTTGACACTGACCTACCTCCTCTTAGTGTGCCAGGACCTGGATCAAATCTTCTCTATTCTGAATGATTCAGCCTAATTAAACAAAACCAAACCCACAGAAGCAGAACAGATGGCCAGCATTCAAAAATCAAGGGCCTGAGTTACTTACTGCTACTACCTTCTTTTACTTTATTTCCTTACTTCACTCAAAAACCTATTTCTTTCCAAAGAGCAATAAGAAGCAGCACTCTCCATTCACTTTTAGAGGAGAGCTCTCTGTTGTTCTAAGTGCAGTGCACCAAACTTACAGCATCACTTTGAGGCTGAGAGATCACAACAGGCTGTCCTGAATCACACGTCTCCCGTATATTGATGTGCAGTGGAACGTCTCCTGCATCAAAAATACCAAGATACACATATGTGAAGACCTAGTATTTCTTAAATGTTTACTTAAAATAACCCTAAAGCAACTTGAAATCTAATTTCCATTCACTATACTCTTTGAATTGCTTTAGCTCCAAAAATTAGCATTTAAAATGAAAATTGGCTGTGGTATATTTTCCTTACGTCCATAATGAATAATGCCAAACATATTTTGGATTTTTCTTTCTCTGAATAGAAAGGACCATGCTTTAGTCATTTATTAGAGAAGGAAGGGCTTTTTGCCTCAAACACAGAAAAATACAGGCTGAGATACAAAATATTTTGTTTATGTGAAATAAACTGCCTGAGTGTTAGGCAACTGTTCATCATGCAATTTACTGTTCAGCCTATCTCCTCACTGTAAGTTCTTTTCAGTGCCGTTTTAAGATTTTAATCACTATTCAAAGACTTCTTTGAATACTTAATTTCCAAATAATAGCATTTGTTATTGTCCTTATTAGGCCTTGGCTCCAATTAAAAGGTGGACAGCTATTCAGTCATTCTTCTTTCCAACAGAAATCTTCTTTATATTCTGCTTTTATAATGAGCAGGGAACTGCCAGAGAGGAAAGGAATGCTCTAAAGGAGAATCAATTAGCAGCCCTGTTCCATTCTGAGACATACTTTCTGCAACACAGATTTCACCACTACAAAACACTTGGAGATTGCTATGTTTACTGCTACATAAATAATTTTGAGGTGAACTGAAGACCAACTTTCTTTAACTGGAAGACATAGCTACACTTTACATTATGGATAGACGAAGACAGAATAGCCTACCTTAGTTCAATCCTGACACATCAGAAATCGTATAAGTTTAATTCATACATTTTAGCAACCTGATTTAACTCAAATCAAGGCCATTGTAAATTACTGAGATTCAATGTATTCAGAAAATGAAACAGTTTAAAAAACTGTATGAAAATTGACGAAGTTTAAGAAATAAAAAAACCTAAACACAAAGCAAGTAGGAATACAAACAAAAACAAACAAATAGTAAACACAAAAGCACTGGCTCCATGATTAGTGTGCTGAATCTTTGAACAGCCTTATTATTATTTAGGATAATGACAGTCCATTTCCTTCAATTTTTTTTCCTTACTTATTTAAGTCATGAATAAATTTAGGTATAATAGTCTGTTCATGTATTCATTTTTAAAAAAAATTCAGAGAGTCCTTTGAAAGTTTTCTAACCATAAACATTCTTAATTGAATAACAGTAATTTGTAAATCTCCCTGATGTTCACTTCCTACTCTTATTTTACGTTGAGACTAATCTTCTCTTTTTTCCTAAGGATGTTTTGTAAATGAAAAAATACTTCTTCAATATCAGCTTAATAATAATCTCCAATAATTACAAAATAGCAGCCTCTCTCTTTTCCTCCTCAGACTTACAAACGTGTGCTGGTACTACAGGAGCATTCAGGACTTGTAAGAACAGAAGTGCAGTCAGAAGATAAAGAAAAATGCATTATTATTTTAAAAAATTGCAAATTTATAATTTAAGCAGAAGACATCAAAACCATCTGCATAGCTGTTTGGGTGGTATGGGTTTGAGGAAGATAAAACTTTTGGACTATTCTTCACTACCCAATGTGATGGGAACTTAACATCACAAGTTTTTCTGATATTAACAACTACTGCTGATTGCAAAGAAAGAATAATTTAAATTTACTGTAGGAAGAAAAATCAAAGAATTTTAAAAACCTGGTAGTCATTGCTGATGGTCAGGAACCAGATAGTGTTAAAAAAGTCAGGAATTGCAAAGGTCAGGATGGAACACACAGAAATTATTATCTCAGTATCATGCACACCAATGACATAGCTTTCTGGTCACAGTTACAGCTCTCAAACTTCAGGAAAAAAATTTCTGAGACAGGGAGAGAAAAATCAGCAGCACAAAGTCTCTCTCACAAACCTTATCACATATTCCTTTAAAGAACAGTAAAAATAAAAGACAATTCTAAGTATATGAAATAACGGATTTTACTTGAAAGACTCCTGGCAAATGCTAATTGCCTTCCATCATAAACAAAAATAAGGTACTCAGTAATACTAATGACAGCCAACTCTGAGCAAATGGAAGGACGATACTTTTCAATCCTGCACTGAAGGATTAGCTGGGAGAATTTGTCAAATGTTGGGTGACAAACATCTTGTTGGGTTTCCAAGAAGGACTAGATAGATGCTTATCTAAACAAACAGAACAGCCACAGGTGTCAGAAAATATATGCAAAATAAACTTAGAATTACTAATTTTAAATATATGCACTTTACAGATATATATGTAAAAATATGTTCTCTAGGTTTTTGGGCAGAATTCAAGTAATACTGAGATAGAACTTCCATTTGGGATGGATTACCGTAAAATCTGTAAGCAGTAATTCTTACAATGCCATATGGTATTATTATGTAATGGTCATCCCTGGAAGGAGGAGCATACTAATCAGATCAAGTACTGTAATTCAAAATGTATCCCTTGGGGCATTATTCTTAATCTTAGTCTGGTTTTGCATTGGCAGTTTGAAGTTAAACTTCACTCTGCTTTGTTTTGTACATCTCATCTATCCCCTGCTAAATCTGTACATCTCTCACATCACTCCTAATTAAATCCAATCACAATCAGTTCTGCACTCTTAGGAAATAACAAAAACCACCTATGGGACCAATGCCATGGTACATCATTTGTGCCTGCGTATCTAAATGCACGTTAGATTCAACTGCTTGCAGAGCATTTGCATCCATCCACATAACCCGGGGCTGCAGAAGTCCCCTTGGGCTCTGATCACAACTCATTACATATTCAGAAAACTAAAAGATAGCCCAAAAGCATGTCTTTAATTATGTGTTGCCTTGCTATCTCAAGTCTATGTCAGACCTTGATGTTTCTGTGTTGATCTTTCTAAGTGAGCTTCCTGGTTCTTTTTAATGAATTAGCTATGGAAAATCATTGAGATAATTAGAGTGATACATGGAAACACATCATTAGCACATGCAATTACCCCATTTACCAACTTAATTACGCTGTGTTATATTCTTTACTTACAGCGCAGGTTGAACCTTGCCTTTTTTAATCAGTAATGTATATTTTAAAGATCCATGTATATTTTAGCCTACAGGCATGACAGATAGCTTAATCATAGCTCATCATAGAATGATTTAAGTTGGAAGGGACCTTAAAAATCATTTAGTTCCAAGCCCCCTTCTGTAGACAGGAACACTTCAAGTAGAGCAGGTATCTCAGAGCCCCATCCAACCTGCCTTCGAACCTTCTCAGGAATGGAACTCCCTTGACTCTAGACAACCTCTGCCAGTCCCTCACACTAAAGAATTTCTTATTTCTAATATCTAATATATTATATCTAATATCTAATCTAAATCTATCCTCCTTCAGTTTAAAGTAATTCTCCATTGCCCTATCATTGCCTGCCTTTGTAAAAAGTCTCCAGCTTTCAGAACCATTTACACACCAGAAGGCTGCTATAAAGCCTCTGCTGAGTCAATATTTAAACAAAAATAATTTAAACAAAATAAATGAGAAAACATTTATTGATATTACTAGACAGAGTTTAGCTCTGTCCTAAGACTAAATGGAATTCCTGGTTATTTGCAAAAATTCGTTGTACAGTCAAGCACATAACAAATTTCAGGTAATACAGCACATTGTCATCAATTCATGTTCTGGATTGTTTGTAAATACAGAAATTTAAGATGCAATTCAAGAATTTTCATATGCAGTCAACATCACCATTACAAGACTGGCAAGGAACAGAGCATACTGCTTATTACTTCCATTACATCTGAAAACAGTCTGAATCCAAAGTCATCTAGGATTATGCAGTTTCATCATTCAGTTAGCACTTCATGCACACCATTAGATTTTTCTTCAAAAATAAAACCATTTCCATATTCTTACCCAACATATCCAATCCAAGAGTTTTTGCCAGATCTTTTACACCATCAGTTCCAAAAATATGCGTCTCATGCTTACATTTGGGACACTGGAAAACACTCATATTTTGAACTAGTCCTAAAACCTGTCAAAGGAAAGGAAAGGAAAGATTGCTCAAACGAAGCACCAGTATTTCCATGTTAATCTTTGATAATATAGATTATCCACTAAGAACCAACACAGAGTGGTTATTTAAAACAGGAATCAGACCCATTAATATCATTATCAGCTCTTATTAGTCATCTCAGTGGCCCCATCATCTGGCATTATTTCAATTTCTTCACATTTATACCTCTTGAAGACTACCAGCCTTATTTGTAACAAAAAGTACTTCTTGCACAAACCTAACTTGCCAAGAACTCTCCCTGCTAGTATTTCATTTTCAAACTCTGAATACTGGAAGAATTTTCATGCTGCGTTTTACAGTTTTGTCCTTTGCAGTTTCAGGAAAGAGAAAATAAAAACATACCATTACAAGAAATTACACAATCAGACGTGCTTTTAAGGCATTTTTAGAAGTTATCCGGTAGGGAAATGTTTTCAAAAAGACCAGATTTGTTATTCTTCTGCAGAGCAGAAACGCATTTTAAAGATCAAACAATAGAAATAATTATGTGAAACTAAGTGGCAAAAACCATAGCATAAAAATCTAATACACACATCCTGGGTACCCTTCCATTGATGCCAGGTTTTTAACGTCATCCTTATAAAATACGTCAAATAAAAATTTGCCAAGTCATTCACACAAAAAAAATCTTCCTTCACAATGTGAAATAATACTAATAATCTCATTCTATTCACATAGTAAACAAAACTCTACATTGAGTCAGATCAAAATTTTCAGAAGTGATGAAAACAGTGTTCAAATGCCACAGGGTGGAAGTTTTTATCCACCTGCTAAGGAACAGAACATCTGCTTTAAGAGATGCAATGTTACAACATTTCACTTTCAGATTTGCATAGTACCTAGATATGTCACTAACACTATATCTGAGTTTTAGAATACACAATTTATGTTGATATTTACTTTGTAGCATTTTGTACTTCTACATTTTCCTGAACCTTCTAGTTTTGTGCTTGAACAAGGTGGTCTCTTATTAGAGAGTTATTAGAGAAGCTATGCTAATGAAGCATATCTAGGAGGAAACAGCGGTGTTCAGTGCGACCAACAAATATATTTAATTAAAAGTGAATGTACAACTCCTGGCACTGAACTTAAAATAAAAATGTTACTTACAATATCATAATAAGTTTCCTTAGCTATAAACTGAAATTTATCAAAAGGTGGTCACCTGTTTTTCCTATAACACCTTTTCTATACCACCTCTTATACATCTTCCTTTACTTATGTAAAACTCTCAGATGGTTTAAAGCAAGGAACATTTTAAGAAATAATATGCTTGAAACAAAAATTACCTACTTCCAATTTAACACCTCAAACTGACTTTGCCCCTTTTCTACTCTCTCCCAGGGACTGTCAGAGAAGCAAGTGGAACAAGATTGTATTTACTGGCACATTATTACAGGTCATTTTATCATCCAGTTCTTACATTAGTAGAGACATTAAATACTGCATATCCAAGGGTATAAGATGCAGGACAGTAAAAAGAGAGCTGTACAGCCACAGCCTTCTATGGATGACCTCTAAGCAGGCATTCATCCTGCTCTCCCCTAAAATCAAGTCATAGAGTTTTTACTGTGTTGGTAAACTGAAGAACACTGAAAGACATATTTTTTGACAAAAGAAAAATATTATTTTCACCAGGATACATGGAGGCCATTTTTGAAAGTACAAAAAAAGAAAATCGGAAAAAAGAAGTAATTTGAAATTTACACTTTAATTCATTTTCAGGTATCTTGGGGTTTGAACTTTCTGTTCTCTTCAAAGTACTCATACAACATTTATGATTCAGCAAATTTATTATCAAAGAAAATTTTATGTGGTCTACTATTGTTTTGTGAATAGTTAAGCATTATTACAGCTGTTTTGTTCATTTTTTAATAACCTAGTAACTAAGAAGTCCTTCAGCCAGGACTGATGCTATACCAGTTTTAGAGGCCTTAAACACTGTCCTTTTTTATTTCCATTTAAACAAACCTTACTAAAAGGAAATGACATTTCATTATTACAAAATAATTTTAATTTTTCTGTGTTGGTCCTGTTTGTCAGCCAATAAATAGTGCATATTTAATAATATATAATTCATCCATCTGGAATATGAAGATGCCACTTAAAAATACTAAATATAATATGGAATATTTCCAAATACACAATTTACTGCTGAAGTGTTTTTTTACCATGCACATATATTTACAGAAGGGAGCTCCTTATGACCTTCAGAGCTTTTAAATCTACAAAGGAATAGGTCTGGTTAATGAAGTCAGTAATAACCCTCATTTTCCTGCTCAAATAATAGACTTGTAATAGCTTCAAAGCAGCTGTTACTGTCTACACAAACTATTTCATAAGTGTGGGTGAATTCCATTCTAGTTCTTGTTGAGCTTGGCAAATTTGGCTCAGCAATGACATGAAAACTTTTATCCACCACAATACAGGAGCTAACCTATGGCAGCAGCATGGAGCTGCATTCCATTTAGTCTAATCGTTATTTTAAATGGCAAAAAGCATCTGGCAAGAAATAACAGGAAATGAAGAACCCTTTCATTAGGAGTTATCTGCACACAGTTGCTGAATGTTTACATACTTCTTGTGCTCAGCAAACCTTTTGGTTACACAATAAATCATGCTTAAATCCAAATATACAACCTTCTAAGTTAAAGAAAATACAGTGATGAAATGAAAGTTCTCTGTATTTACATTAGGAGACAATTCCTGAGAAACCCACTGCAGTCATTCACTGTATTTAAGGACAGACAGCTGGTGCTAGGTCTGACTGATGGGAACTGAAGTGACCAGGGTGACAGTTCCTCTGCCATCAACTTCCTGTGTCAGTCAGCCACTTTGCATTGAAGTGCTTCAAGTGAACATGCACAATATTTCTGTCTTCCTACCTTTCATCCTGTAAAGAGCAATTTCTGTCTCTAATATCTGCTCTCAACATGAAGCCATAATCGTGGCTGGTTACTCTGGATGCTTCAGAAACACCAGTAAGAACATAGCCAAATAAGCCATTTTAGTACCTCAGAAGGAAAAACATAGCTGAGTTTATCTAAGCAGTTTTTCTGAAACCTGCAAAATCCACAGCACAACCTTCAAATTCAAGGAAATGTTCAGGAAAATTGTAGATTTAACTAAAACCCTGTCTTTTCTTTCAGGGATATGATTGATAAGATAAACAATAATGAACTGAACTCAGCCTCAGCAAGCGGAAATAGGCAGTTTTTCTCCTAAATCCTCAAAATTATTCACTTTGAGTCACCCTTTGGAACACAAGAAAACACTGGCCAAACTCACATAACAGACAAAAATCTTGAAATTTGTGATAGGAGTCAGCAACACTTTGCAAATTCCTCCTTCACTCTAAGTGTAGGTGTGCTCCACTGCACAAGAGATGTCACTCCTCTTTTAGCAATTATGTCCTAAGATGGAAAATATTAATTTTGCCCCATAAACCTGGTTTTAATGCTGACTCTCCTGGTCAGATTTTCATCAGTTCCTTCAGTCATTCTACTTCAATTTCAATAAACAACATTAAAAACTGTGACTTTACTGAGGTAATACTACACATGTCATCTGAGCCTTCCATAACTAATAATGGTGGGTGTGAGGGGAAGGTAGAATATATGTATATAGGCCTGTATGTACATGGGAGAGACCACAGTTCATTAAATACAGGAAAGCATACTCAGAGTTCAGCAACCCATAGCCTCTCTGCTTCTTTGAAAAATCAGCTCTTTGCAAGCGCTTTCTGAAAGATGAAAGATTGAAGATCAGTTAATTATGCAATCAGGATATGTAATTTTAGCACAGACCTTCAGATTCCAGCTCTTTGACATACACCTCAGGTCTGAAGTTGCCCATGAAAAATTATGTCACTTGACTTTCTTTAGATCCTCATATTTAGTTGACATTTAGAAATGTAGTACATAGGCAAAAGCTGCCTAAAACTCAAGCAATTTTTATACATATTTTTATACGTGTACATACAGGGCAGAATAAAATGAAGCAGGGAGAATAAAATGAAGCAGGGTAATGAAAAAAGGCAAGGCCTGATAACTGGTTCAAGTGCATTCAAACACAACATGTGGTGTAACAGCTTTATTGTGACTTCTCACTTGATTTGACAACATCTGATAATTCCAATGAACCAAAACAGATCATACTTAATATCTTATCTTCCACTAGTCAAATCAGTATTAGCCAAGCCCATCCTAGAACACACGATTTTCTTGGATGCCATTCTCTTCAAAGGACATTGAACCAGACAGTTTTAGAAAGAAATCTTGGTAACTTCTCATTAAAACAAAAGGAAAATTCAGTGAAGCACTAACTTGAACACAATTTAAATTGAAAAAAAACCCAACATTTTACATCATTTCAGCAAACCCAAACAAAATCAAAACAAAATGTTCTGTATGTTATTTCTCTTGTTTTCCTTCTGGCAGCAAATTATAAATGTTACAATGCTTTCATTTTGATGCAAATATGCTTAAATAATAGTAATAAGGAATTCATCAAAGTGTTTCTTTTGTTAAGCCATCCTGTAAATTAAAAAAGGGAAAGCATTCACTTCAACTTTTTTTAATTATGAAAACACTAGCTATGAAAAAAAACTTCCTTTCTTAAGAAAGACTAGAAGTGACCTTCGCACAGGTAAACAAGAAAACCTCTTTTTTTCCTTACAGCTTATGATAAGGAAGCATTTCATATCATATTCTTTCATCAACTGCCCATTTAAAAATTAATCTCTACATAAATATATTCTAGAGTACTACATTCAGTTACTTAGCAACTTGTAGCACCCAGAGAAAATATCAAGTCAAGGATGTTAGCCGGTTTAATATTTTCTCCTAATTGTGGATATTCTTAGATTTCTCATTTCTCAAACAAGTATGCTAAGATATAAACTATAAAACTCATGGAAAACAATGATGGGACAGCCTTCTACTTGTCACAATACTTACAGAGCCCTTCAAATGGTGAAGTAACTAGATAGAAGCATATTTCCACCAAAATTTGAGTTTGCTTCTTAAAAAAAAAATCAATAAATGATTTCTCTACATTTCATGAAATCTGAAGCCCCAACAGAGACAGTGCTGAAGAGGACACGTAATGAGGACACATAGCATGAATGAAAGGCATGCATTACTTCCTAAGATATTCTGTTCAGCAATCTGATCTGCTCCATACAATTAAACAAACAGATTTAAAACAAATCATTTATTATTATGGCTTCAGCCTAAGAAAATTCTCCCCTTTCTGTATAACCAAGTTCCTGACACAGATATAAGATGGAATCTAAGCCTTTCAACAAGAATTTATTAACTTCAAGTGATTTCTGAATGTTCACCTACTGCTGCATATGGAATTTTTTTTAATATATTGGAAAAAGAAAAATTTACTGGTATTTTTCATGTAGAGACTCACAGGTACATGGACTTTTCTGAACATTTCAGCTCCTTTGTGTGCATCCAATAAAGCCACGTCTTGTGGAGTGGAGACAATCACAGCTCCTGGGAAAAGAAAACATGAAATCCCATTAAAATGGATTTTATTAATTATTCTGCTAAATATTTTAAATATTTAGTACATGCTAATAAATTCACAGTAGTCACACAGTTATATGCTTTTAAGGAAGAAAATTATGCCAGGTTTTTTTATTATACAATGATCAAAATAACTGAGATAGGATATGAAGTGATAAAAGTATTTTAGATACTTCCATCATAACTTTTTCTATGTAGAAACCATTTATACTTTCTAAATGAGAAAAATTATCTAGTATCATACAACCATCCACATGCTGACAGATTGCAGAGGTGGTACTCTGGGAATATCTACACAGTAACAATCCCATGCCATAATTATAAGTTTTTAATTTAACAATAAGCCTTGTTCTAAAACCAGGAGGCAGGTGCTTGTAATCAGACTGTTGTTTTCCAGACCTCCTACACTTTCTTGAACCATGTCACACTAGACACCAGTGCATTTGTGATACTACAAAGGAAGAGGCCAACTGATGCACACTTGCACTAGGTTTGAATAGAGTGTTGCTCACTGTTCAAACGTGGCTCCAGGTTACCTGATAATTAGTACTCCTGAGAGTTATTAAGCACACAAAACAGCCAGAGCTCCTTGTCTAAGTTACATCCTAAAGTAAAGTAAGCCTACAGGTTACTATCCCATACTGTTATTACTTTTTGATTAATACAGCATGAAAATACACCACACACATCAGAATATTCTACATGACTTCACAAAGAGCATCTTTTTCCAATTGCTGTGGGGTTTCAAAAGTTATTTCCTCAAAATTTGCAACAAAAAACTGTTCACGCTTGTCCCTATTTTACAAAAATGTAATGTACAAGGGAGCATTACTGGTCAATTGATTAGCTTTGGTTTCACATTGACCATCTAGTGTCAAAAGTCTCTGATACAAGAAGATTTCTGTAGAGTCACATTATGCCAACCATGCACAAGAAATTTATGTCAAACTTCACACTAACAGCAATTACAACAGAGAATTCAAGATGCTTGGGAGAACTCAAGATCCTACAGGGCCAGCAGCTCCCAATCCCCTGTGTGCAAGGCAAAGGAAGAGGTGGGTAGATTTCAGAGGCATGCAATCCTGGCATCACAGGCAGGGACCAGAGCACCAGAAGCCCTGGCACTGTGAGAGCACTCATGGCTCTGGCAGCACTGGGACAGGAGCCCTGCCCCTACAGCATCCTCCTGCTGCCAGGAGGGATCCTGCCTGCTGAAAGCCAGCCGCTTCCAAACACCACCTGACAGCGTGTTTGAATATTTTCAGCCAGCATTCTTAACCTCTAATTTGTGAAAGAAAAATACAATCTGGCACCTCACTCCTGAAAAGCTGCCAATCTCTGTCTTACACAGTATTATACACAAGTCCAAAAACTGAATGGCACATGTAATGCACCAAGCAAATGCAATTTCCCTATTTGCTCAAACTCTGGCATCCAAATAATTTGCTGATATTCCCAAACCAGCTTGTGTCCAATGGCATCACAAAGAATAATGTGCAAGCTTTTCAGTTAGACTGAAAGCACCTTAGCTCCTCATTTCACCAAACACAGGGTTACTTTATAAGCAGCACTGAAATGTAGGGTCAATTCCAAAAAATGAATGCACCTTTCCCTAAAAGCACAGGCCACAAGTAAATAATTGAGACTCAGTGTCCTTGAGATTTTTGCATATTTATAAAAAAAAAAAATCTTTCAGTACTTGAAAAAAATGCTCATTACTGCTTTCTTTCCAAGCAAAATTAGAAATATGCGTCTTGTGTGTATACACACTTTTATTCACACTCTTCTCTGAAGATGTTGGCTCAGCATTCCATGAATCTTCACAGAACCTAATATGCAGTCAAGAAGACTGAAGTCTACATTTTCTGGTTCATTATTAATTGTGCTAAGAATCTAATAATTGTCATGGCATGAAGGACAGACTGTGCACAACAAAAACACCCACTAGAACCACAAGTAGCTTAACAGAGATATATATTTTACTAACAAATTCTCATCCAAAGGGAAAAAAATCAAAAATGTCAAAACAACCCAATGGCACAGTTTGGGCTGCCACAAGCACCAACTGTCTGTACAAAAAACCTCTGGCTCCTGAAATACATGTATTAAAATTATGCTTGTGGACAATTTCCATGGCTTCTTCCATAGAAAGAAAGCCAACATGATCAAGAAGCTGCTGTTGAGGGTGTAATAGTTGTTTCTCTCCTATTTTCCTTTTTACTCTGAGCTAGTTACAGGCAAAATTTATTCACAGCCAGCTTGTACTGACTTACACCAACACCCTATAAAACAAGTATCTTCTCCCTTTGGTACATCTGCTAGTCCAACAAACCCAACCTGAAGTTCAAGAATTCAAATTATTTGCAGCGTTATTTCCTTTACTAGCAACCAAATATGGCAAATGAGACTTTTCACAGTGCTCCCCTCCCTGAATAAGTTTGCATACGTTTAATTCAGAAAATTATTCAAATGATAAGCAAGAAAGGACGCAGCCTACACTTTCCTTGCTATCTTGACTCTACACAGTTAACGGAATATCAAGCAGTAAAGAGTTATTTTGATCAATAAAGTAACAAAATACAATGGAATTCATGCACACAGTATGTCTCTTGAAGCAATACGTGCAATGTTTACAAAAGTGTCTGGATGAGACAAACTGAGGCTGACAAATCGAACAGAGAAGCTGCAGAAACCTTAATACTGATCACATCGCACACCGGAACATACTAAAAATTCTGTGTTTGCACTTGTGTGCAGAAAAATAATTTCTGTGCCTTGAGTATACTAAGGATATCTAAGTAGAGTACATTTATGTTTAACTGACTTATCTACTTACTCATATGTTCCATTTTTTTTTTTTACATTTCTATGTATTTCCTTTGACAAAAAGCTGATGCACGTTCACCAAATCACAAAGAATTAGTGAACGGGTCAGGCTGGAAGGCACCACTGCAGATCACCCAGTCCAATCTCCCTGCTCAAGCAGGGTCCTTTAGATGATGTCACTAAGGATTCTGTCCAGATGACTTTTGACTACTTCCTGTGATGGAGGCTCCACAAGCTCTCTGGGCAGCCTGTTCCAGGGTTTAATCACCTGCACATTAAAGAAATTCCTACTTATGTTCAGGTGGAATTTCCTGCACATCAGTTTCTGCCCACTGTCTCTCTTCCTACTGCTCAGTACCAGCAAGAAGAGCCCAGATCCTTGACACTCTCCCATCAGATATCTATATACATGGATATAGTTTTCTCAGTTCTCTTAATTTTCTCCAGGCTAAACAGCCCCTGGATAGCCTGGACCTTTAGAAGTGATATGCGGCCATCTCCTAGTCTTTGCCCTTTGCTGGTCTACCTACAGGAGCTCCACGACTCTTTTGTACTGAGGGATCCAGAACTGGACTCAGCACCCCAGAGGAGATTGTGTTAGTAAAAATTATGTTAACTGTATTTTTAATCCTTCGGACACATTAGAGACAGAACTAACAATACCCTGTAACACTGGTGTTTCCCTTTCTGTTTCAATCCCAGATCCTTAATTCTCAGTAAAAGAAAGATGTGCCTACACAGCACATTGGTAGCCTTCTGGTGGACTGGTGCTCAGCAAATTACGAGCATTTAAACAGTCTATAATTTCTGGGTATAGAAAATATCACCTATACAAAGCATAAGGTGAAATGTCACCAAACCTTAGCTATAATCAATTTGTACCCAAGCAAAAAACACGGAGCTCTAAAAAGCATCTCATCAGCTGCAGTGTAGAAGGTCTCCCTTAGGATGAAAAGGATGCCCCTAATATATTCTTTTTCCCCTCCATTGTCTTCACAGATAGATTTCAGAATGAAGCTACGTGTCTCTCATCCAAGATAAGGATCCCACCACACACAACTATTAGACCACGTCTTATATCAGCCTCTTAGCAAACAGTGCCACCTCAAAAGCTGTGAAGTATAACTGACCAGAGAGACTGGCAGAGTTCTGGAGGATAAAGACACAGAATAATCGTATCTGCTGCCTGACAGCCACTGAACACTCTTAGCAAGGAACCACATTCAGGCCTCAGTAAAGCTGTAGATGGCCTGATCTGATCACACCACTCATGCACTTCTTGCAGCTTTTGCTACCTTTTCTATTGCATTAAATTCAAACTTTTAGATAATGTCTTCCAGTCATAAATAGCCTGGTTAACCTGACTCTTCTGTACCGTGGATCTCTTCAGAGCCCTTCTGACCTTCTGTTAAATTTGCCTGCAATTACAGATACATCTTTGCACTTGAAGATGCAGAAAAAATCTTGCAAGAACAAAGACTTCTGTCTTTGCTGTAATTTCAACTGGCAACAATTAGAGATAAACTAACATTAGAAAATGGTTCATCTTCTAGGATAAACCTTACAAAGAAGTTCCTTCAGCTTTTGCGTGTGGCATCTTATTATGAACAGCAACTTAAAAAAGCCACAAGTGTGATTTTGCATTACAGGATCCTCACTTCAACCTCGTAATATAGCTCAGAACTGTCCCAAAGGCTAGATCCTGGCTGCATCACACCTCCAGCCTGCTTGCTACCTTCTTCTTGGAGCAGTCATTGAACAGCTGCTCAGACAGGGGATGTTTCCACACATCCTCTTTTGCCCAAGAACTAAGCAGGTAATAAAAGATCAGGACACTACCAACTTGCCCACATGAAAAGACCACAGAAATCTTACACCAATATTCTTCCTCCTGGTTAGTGGAACTGTCAGCTGCATAAAGCTGTCACCCTAAAGCTAAACTGCCCTCATCTATACTGATCAGTAAGTATTCTATCATCCATTTCACACCAGATCACATGGGGAAAGGTGTGGAAGGACAACTCTCACTGTGGTTAAATGTTTGGTTTTCGTCATGGCAAACATGTCACACTAACGCAATTTACAATGAAGTTTTACGTAGTGAAAACATTGAAAATATTCATAATAACATCTGAGAACAA